GCCTGGGGATCAAATCAATCTCCTTGCCATTCCTTCTGACCAAAATAAATAAATAAATAAATAAAAACTATTTATTTATAGTTTTTCTGGGACTAGTTCAACACAAGCTGAAACTCTTCCAGACACAAAGAGTGGAGAGGTATGATTTTCTGAAACTCCATGAGAACTAGGGTGCACGTTTGTCTGGGGATATACTGGGGGCCCTTATTGCCCCTTCTGTACTATCATCTGTCCTCTAAAGATTGCAGTTTGGTAGAAAATCTGTTCATCGGAGAACAGAAGACTGCAATGTTGGATATCCTTCCTTATACGAAGCAAGATCTTTTTATTACCAAATTCGTACCAATCTATTCATATACTAGGAATACATGCAATATATGGTTGTATTTACCTACACCTAATGTCATAAAAACAGCATGTGCTAAACTGTGTCACATCAGCACATTATTTAAAAAATATTTTTAAAACATTTTTAGCTTTAGATTATCTTCTGAGCTTACTACATTCACCTGTGTGCTTCGCTATTTTCTTCATATTTCTTGCATTCATTTTAATGTTTACTCAGTTGACTTGAAACATATTTTTCAGCTCTAAGTAGGAAAGAATGAGGTAAGTACCAGCTATCTAGATAACCAAGTAACCAGTTATTTTCTGTAGGCCTTTTAGTATCAGGGGGTGTTGATATATATTAAAAATACATATCTAATCAGCAGCTCTGCAAGGCCCATTTTCACTGAAGAAGATGACAGTAGACCACTTCCTTTCCAACACCATAAAAACAAAGACAAAAAAAAAACTGAAGAGGGCATTTGTTTGTGTAGAATCTAGGGCCCAAATAGTTTCTGAGTGTTGCCCCACTCCCACACTTTCCTTTCATGCTCACAGTTGCAATTAAAAATTCTTAGCTTTATGTTTTGTTACAGACACCAGTAGCACGTTTACATACCTTGCGTCAGATTACACTTTTTACCCCCTCTGGAATGAAAAGCCTTTCCTTGTACTAAAGTAAAGAAATTCCAGTGCCCTGTGCTTCCAAATCATCTCAAAGAAAAGGCAGGATCGGGCACCTGGTTCTACCACTGCCAGGGACTACTACCACCAGGCACCAGCTCCACAGAGGCTCTGAAGTTTGCACAAAGAGCCTTTGCTCTTTTTCCTTTCATGAAAGGCTATTATTATGTAAATAACTAAGGAGTTAGTGAGCCTCTGTCATACATCATGTCACACTAGGTTGAATGGATTTCGTTTAAGCAAGGTGTTAAAATGAATTGTCTGAACAGAACTTTTGCTATACCCTGCAGAGTATGTATGACTAAAGTTTCATTCCTTGATCTTAGGAAAAGGGGGAGAAAGTGATAAAGACACATTTTTAACAAGTGTTCAGTGACCTTGGTCACAATGACTGTATATATTAGGCAACAGGGCCAGAGCACGAGCGCCCTAATCTAGAGACCCTAAATCTCACCTGCTCCCACGTGGCTTGGCACGACTCTTGGCCAAGCCACTTAGCCTTCTGCCAAGCAATACCGAGGTGCCACACGAGACAGATTCTGTGAAGGACTATCCCTAGCAGGGCATATGGGCCTGACCTCCCTGTCTTGAGAGAACGACACGTTCTGCTAGATAACCAGGTTGTTTCCCCTGAAGATCACACAGTGTTGGCCTATTTTACTCACAGACACTAAAAATGGCCCCGAATATAGAAATTACACCTAAGAAGAACTGGTAACAAGGGATCTAACTCAGCAAAGTGCCTAGGCATTGAACTTAGGAGCTTCATGGACTTAAGCTTCATGTACAGCAGTGAGCCTCAGCATATGTGTATGTCCCTGATTAATTAAAAAGGAAGCCTAGAGACATCCAAGCTACAAAAAAAAAAAAAAAAAGGTGATTCAACCTCAATTTCTCTGTTACTGTTAAAAAAAAAATCACTTGTGAATATCAGCAACTAAAGGCTAGAAAGAGTAAGGGAAGAACAGTTCATATTTTAAATGGAGGGAAAGAAACAATGTCACATACCTTTTCTAACAAAAAGGTATCAGAAACTTTAGTGGTTAAAAAAAACAAATATTCACTCTCAAAAACACAAACCTATTTTAGCATCTGTTGAAAACACCGCATTATCTCAAAACATAACTATGACACAAACATACAAAACTATAAATACAATTACATCTGCAGTTTTTATCTAATCAGATGTTACGCATGCGAATATCAAAACCAGAAGGAAAACAGCAGGTTTTGATAAAGGTTGAAACATTCTACTATTTATAAGGCATTAAATCTTGCTCTAAATCGAGACAGTCCAGTTCCTAGCCTAAAAAGGGAGAAATATCAAACTTCTTGAAGTCCACTTGAATATCCAATAACCCTGTTGTTTTTACAGGAAAGGTGCTATATATATATTTAAATATAAAAACATGAGATTGCAAGAAAAAATCTCCTTTGCCTATATTTAAAAAGTTGTATGTCTTTACATCTGAACCTAGTATTATAAATAAATGGACATTACCAAAATATTAATGAACAATGACACGTACTGGAAGATTACATGTAGCAGGTAAGCAACTATATGAGGAATTGTCAATTTTTATTCTTTTGCTATCCAAAATTTGTAGAGACCATTTAGTGGGGGAAGAAAAAACAAAACAAAACAAAACAAAAAAAAACACAGAAGATACTCCTCCTGTTTTTAAATTGTGGAATCTTTCCCTTACTTTGTTTTGTTTAACTGAACTCTCTCACATCATAAAATCAGATTTTGGCCCAAATGAAACTAAAAGGGAAAATCTATCTCCTGAAAATAACAAAAACTTCCCAAAGTAAGAGCTGTGTTGAATTTCCTCACGCACACCACTCCCTTCTCTTGGCATGTGCTGAGAGTCCCCTTCTGCCAGTGCTATCCCTCCCCGTAGCCATGCTGTCACACAGCTGGACAAGGGGATTCTGCAGAGGGGTCAAGGGAATTGGATTATGCTTCTCCATCCAAATCATGATTTTTCTTCTCCTTCCCTTCCTAAACTTCCACCAGCAGAATTTCAGGAGAGGTTAGGGAATGAGGCAGTAGCCCCAGTACAGATCTTACCAGGAATAAAGGTCTGGTTGTTTGCTGGTTTTTATTTGTTTTAGATGGTGGTAGTGGTTTTTGCTTAGTTTTGTTTTCATGTAAGAACATCAGAACACCAGCTTAATTTTTCCCTTTTATACTTCTTTTTCAGCTAAAATATGACCAAATTGTTTTGTCTTGCAATATTAATACCAAGTTGCACAATCTCTCAAAACAGAGGTACCTAATGGAAAATTTTACACATGCTTAGTTAGAGCTACAGGAGTCAGTGCAGGTTTGTGCAAGTTCTCTGCATTTAAAGGCATTTCTTTCATACTTGAAAGACTTTTCAGTAAAATTCTGTATTTGTGATAATTTTTTCCTCTCAATTTAAAATCACTGATGTGCTCTTGCCTTACAAAACTTACTGAAATACAGATTTATTTTTTTTCTTTTTAAGGGAAATAATTAAGTGAATTTTCTTGCAGCTAAGTCATATGTCTAGTGCTTAATTGCCTTGTATCCAGTTCAAGTGAAACACTGCCAAATCAAAGTGGCAAATGAAAATAGCCAGCAGAAACCACTTCGGATGTTTGCAAACAACTACTTGAAGTAATGGAGAAGAAAGGCTTGCAAATGCTAATGGATCACTCTAAATGATGTTACCTACTCTGCATAGGTATTTCTTATATGCCACAAGCAGTATTGTGCTTTACATGTTTTTGGAGACTTAGCAAGTCACAGACAGCAAATATCTATCTGCAAATCCTCTAATGAAAAAGAAGGTCATCCCTCTCAGTCTTGCACTAGGTTATAATTTTTACCTATGATTCACTTTTATAGCTATATAGTTGTCAACTACTGTACTATATTTTTTACTGTTTGGATTGTTAAAACTGTAGCAAAGAATACCTAGTTGTCTTTTTCTTGATTTCATAAACCAGAACTATTTCCTCTAGCATTACGTATGTATTCCTGTGCATCTGAAGGTGGGTCATTTACATGCTGATTCTGGAAGGAGTTAGAGCTTGTCTTACATTAATAAGTTTGAACAGTTACAGAGCAAACAGAAAAATTCCAGTCCGCCTTCACTAAGCAGTGAGATGTTGAGAATAGTTTTTATTTTTATATGCTTTTATTTTTCATAAAGAGCAGAGAGTGGGCACAAAGTGACTAGGAACACTAATCTAACTAAAAGTATGATGGTTATGAAATTTTGGACAGGATGTAATTCTTCAACTGGAAACAAAGTTTAAAGAAAAAACAAACCCCACAACAAATGGAAAGCTGCTTGGGGGATTTATTTCACCATTGAAACAGAGGTACTGAAAATGCAGTCCTCATTTGTGTATCATTTCCCACTGTCTTCCTCTCCTGGATGGAAACAAAACAAAAGGAGCAAAGCCAAAAGCTCACCAACTCATCTCATTCCTCTTCCTTCACGTGACATGAAAAAAGTTTGCAAGCCTCTCTTTCTGATTTTTTCATCCCTGAACAGCAATGAAATCATCATCAGGAACAGAATCATTTTGGAAGATCATAACAGGTTATCATACACCACACAGAAGACAGCAGTTTTATTCAATTTTACTTCAGTAGGCATAAATTTCACCTCCAGAGCTGATAATTGGTTAGCAAGGCATTTTGTTTGCAACGGGAGATGGAATGCTTACAGATACATATTTTGTACATCCTAAATTCTTGTAATATAAAAAGTACTATTGTACATGATTTGTACAATACGACCTTTTAAGTTCCATCCAACCCTAAAGAGATGAATCTTGTTTAGCTGCTTTAAAAACATGTAACAATTATTTGTAAATTATAGTATTCTTGAGAAAGCAGCAAGGATGAGTGGAGGAGGACGAGTAGAAGAGTAAAGAAAAAAAAAAATCACAACCACCACCAGTGCAGACATTTTTCCACTGCAAATCAGCTTCCTGTTGACTTCTCATAGCTGACATTTTAGTTAGGAAATTCTTTACCTTACAGAAATTGCTTCATATGCTCTTTTTTTTTTTTTTCTTAATACGAGGTTACCACTTAAAATACTGAATCACTTCTTTTGTTGTCATTCCAAGGCTAAGTTTGTTAAAATATAAAATGAATAACTGAGCCTTAGCACCTATTTCTTACTTAGAGGGCACGCAAGTATTTCTGTTAAAAGTAAACCAAGATACTGGACAACTGTACAGAAAACTAAGGAAGTAAAGGTAGGTAAACATCTCTTTTTTTCTACCTATAGACATAAGTATATACCATTGAACTTTGACCAACAGGATTTGCAATTTTCTAAATTATTTGCTAAAATTAAAACTTACTGAGATTGGTCTTAAAAATAAGTGTTTGGTTTTTTAAGTGAAAAAAACATTAATCTATAAAGCTAATTCTGACCTGACTCAAATAAAGAATCAAAAGGTTAACAGTTACTATTTTTCTACAGTCTAATTTTGCTACACTCAAGATAATTTAGGTAGTTTAACTTATTAATAAAACGGATAGTAAAAACACCTTTAAAAAGTGAAATAAGATCTGTGGATTTCAGAGCGCATTTACAAGATTCAGTATGTGAGGTTATCTAAATGTCATGCAAGTTATCTTGCATGTCATCTTGGGAAAAAAGTTATCCTCAGAAACATTCACGTTCAGAGAGGCTGAAGTCTACCAGGGCTATGGTGATTTTATTCGGTGTATCAGGCAAGACACAAGGAACGTAGGCACCAAAGAACTCTACAAAGAGCCAGCACAGTAGTATCTGTCTTCCTCTTCGTCTCACCATGGCCTTTCCGAAAACCTGATGGAGTAAAGTCTACTGGTTTATCTTTCACACAAACTCTTGCTTCAATATATTTCAGGAATTGGAGGTATGACAGAACAATATGAACAATCAATAAAAAGAGATCTTGCCAAGATGAGATGCAGGAAATAATTTCCTTCCTGTGTCTTGATGAAAATCTCTCATCAGCCTTACAGACGTACAGTCCAAGGCCCTTCGTTCTTAAAATCGTGAAATACACAACAGCAGTTTCCCTTTTCTTTTTTAATAGGATAGTGAAAGGAATCTGCTAGTTCTTAATCATCTTGCAGTGAAACACCTAAAAATGTCAAATCTTGAGAAGTCCAAGAACACATTTCAGAAAGATGGTGAATGACCACAGAAAAAGCAAATGCTGTTGGCTAGAGGAGAATTCTCATATGTTTACAAATTGCCTGTATTAAAACTCATACTCGTTATGCCTCCTGAAATGAAGGCTATAAGACAAATACTTTTTCGAACAAGTAGGAAGTAAGAATATTACAATACAGATCAATTACTCCCACGATAAAGGAGCTTTCAAAAAAGGAACTCAAAGGAAGGATTATAGAGAGAATTGCTGTGCTGAGGATAACCACATTGCTACCTGCAAAAGATGGAATTTCCCCCAAAAGCCAACCTACCTCCAATACAACCTGAGAAAGAAAAATATGGGGTAGTCGGGGTGAGGATTCGGAGCAAGAGCTAATGCAAATTATTGTTGTCCCTTGCATTGTTGATTTGCTAAAAACATCTCTTGACAGAGCTGTTCTTTTGCTCTCACATTCAGAGCATGCCTGATGCTCACAAAGGGTCTGTAGAAGCCCAAATGAAGAATTTAGTGATACATATGAGCTTTCTGAACTGATAAGATACTAAATGATCAAGTTCCAACACTAAAAGTATGCACACATCAATCAAGTAACTTAGATTCTACTCTGCTTATTTGCTTAAACCTCTTCAAATTCTTTAATAAGCTGAACCTGTTCTTCATAGCTTCATCTGTCAATTTAGATAAAGTTTTAATTTCTGATTTCAGGTTATTCAAAATGTGTTTTATGTATGCCCATTCTACTTATGTTGTAGGCATGTATATTATAGAATGCAATCTGTTTAGCATCCACGACGTTTCCTTTAAATTTAACATTACTAAACTAAAGCTTGAAATGGGCAGAGAGCCCAAGCATGGCTTTGTGGCTTGGCTTGAGTTCATGTAGAAAGTAGTAAAGAAAACTGAAGACAAGAAAACCCACCTACCCAAGGACTGTTACCAAAAGAAGTTCTGAAGCTTTTCTGCCCTACGCATTTATGTTCTCTACAGATGCTGAAAAATAAGACCAAGACCCCGTTCCCTCCTCCCTAACGTGGACTGCCATGAAATTGAGAGATGGGAATGACAGACCACAAGATACCTATGCTACTATGTTTTGTCTTCTACTGTGGCATTAGAGAAAAATAACAAGTCTATTGTATCAGTGCACAGTCGCTCCTGAGCAAGGGAGGTACTAACTGCATTTGCCAACACACAGCCGGATCATTTCTCATTCATTATAATTGCCACATAACATACACACACACACACACACACATAAAAGCTCAATCAAAATATTATGGAGCTTCCCTTCTTCAGGACAATAATCCTGCCATTTTGCTGGAGTGCAAAGTAATAGAATCAGAGCCAGTTAATTAAAATCCCCATAAGTTACATAGTGATTTTTCACCACCCTGCTGTGCAGCTTGACAGTCACTAAGTAAGGGGAAAGAGAAAAGAAGGGAAATTATTTGTGTGACAAATTAAAGGCTGTATTTTGCAACCAAGAAGCAGATAATGATGGAATTAGTTTATAGAACCCTCACCCACCAGCACGAGTTGGGATTACACAATCTGACAGAAAGGGCTTGGCAAAGAGATAAGGCACTAATATATACCAGGAAGGGCACAGGGAGAAGGTACACGTAAGGTAGAACAGTTTATCGGTTTAATTAAATTGTTTTTGTTCAAACTGTTTTCTACGGAGATAATCTCCATCTCTGTGTCAATATTTTGATTTTTTTTGTTTTGTTTATTTTTTTTAAACATTTTCCATTATTTTATCAGTTACTAGCAATACAGCTGTACAGTTTGGAGAGTAAAATTGCTTTAAATCTTTCCTTTCTCTGTGTGGCTCTGATGTATTAATTGATTATCTTTCTTAGCAGTTCAAATCGTTGCCTTAAGGTTATTTCTTCATTCCAGTGCAGTGACCAAGAAGTCAAAGACTACACTGTCACAAATGTCCACTATTTCAATCACATAACAAAACCTCTGAACACAAGAAGGAACATCCCTCTGTTTTGTTTTTAAAATACTGATTAGTTACCACTGCAAAACAGTAGACAGCACACAATCAGAAAGAGTACACTATATGTCATGTAAACAAATATAAGCACATACAAAAAAGATATTATTTATTTTAATCGCTCTTCAGAGGCCTGAGAATAATAGCTCAGTTGAAAAAACAACTGGGACATTCTGCCATATCCCAAGTTCAGGATACCTATGAAAAGTTTTACAGCAATGAATTTGCACAGAAGTTGCATTACATTAGATAAAACTTTATATTATAATATATACTATTGACTGTAATGTGCACTATTGACCTAGTGCTGTCTACATATAGCATTAAAAGTGACCTTCCAAAGGCCACAGCTGTTTCACATTCACATAACAGTTCTCACCCAGAACTTCTAAGCCTTATTGATTTGTGTCTAAACAATTTCCAAACACATTTTTCCTTCTATGTACTATTTAAGTTCAAATACATATTTACAAATACTTAATAATTTGTCCTAATGAATTTTTAGAAATATTAAGCGCTTATGAAATCCTATAACATACCATCTCTAAAAATGCAATTCTTATTGCAAAGAAAGCTTTAATGATTAGAATGACTTCAGCATTTCTAGGTATTTTTCTGTGCAAAAGACTCCACACTGAAGGTCTTTGCTCCCATTTTAGCCTAATTAGATGAGAAATTAAATTTGAAAGACTGTACAGAATATATAATTCCACAGCCTACATCTAATTAAATCTGTGAAATAATTAGTCCCAGTTAGGTTAATTAACTCAATTCTATGACTCAAGTAAAGCTATCAAAGGACTGATGCTACTGCTTAAACAAAGACTGATGCTGCTGTAGCAAATACAAGCCAAACAGTAGCAACTACTGGAATGATACTCTTTCTGCAGAGATGTAACACAACATCAGCTCCTGGCTCATGCACATTTACGAACGTAGTAGGAGGTCAGAGCAGCAAGTAGAGGAGAGAAGAGAAACAGAGTTAACGCAGTCATGACTGAGGTACACTCACCATTGAAAAAGGTTAATTTCTTTCTACTGTATAGCAGCATTGCTTTGACATGGCTGAACTTCCTTGTCTGTGTTTGTGTGTATTTTGCTGTTTTGCAAATAAACTGATTCATAGATGAACCACACACAAAACATTTATAAATCCTATCACAAGCAGAGTATTTATTTTCAGATCACTAAACCCATTTTATTATAACTAGAGAGCTTCCAATATGTTTAAGTGCTTATTTTGAGATTTTTCTGTTTATCCAAAATTTGACTGAAAAAATGAATGAAAGAAGCGTATGTTAAGATGGAAGATTTTCAGGACAAGGAGACTTCTAAGAATACTCCATAAAGTTTGTGCTTGATTTTTCCTTCCAAGTGATATATACAAGCATGAGAATGAAGGAAGACAGCTCAACTTAAACTTGACTTTCATCTGTACAACCACGTTCATAGCTTCCTGAAGCAATGTTCTGAGCATCAGAAATTTCACCATCCATTGTTACAGGTTTTTAAATGCTGTGCATTTGCCAGTTTTGAGGCATTAAAGATCAAGAAAAAAATTAGTCACAATACTGTCATCACTCAACATTTTTTTATTATGCATTAACTGTAGTTAATTGATTTAGTGTTTTCCACATCATAGTGCTGATTCTATTCCTTTTTAAATTAAGTCAAGACAGTAAAAACTTCAGGCTAATGGTGAGAGTTAGCAATAATAATAATCTATCTATGGAAAAAAGAGGAAATCCTGTTGCCTCAACACTTAGCAAGAGATCAGTGAAAACCACCAACACTGAAAGCATAAAATAATTAGATAATTGCACTGAAAACTACTGTAGGATGGTTAAAATTTAATGAATACATAAACATTCATGAAAAATGACAAACATTACAGTGATAATGAAATATCAATTACAAGAAAATTTTTAAGCTAGTCAAACCTTTTCTGATTCTACCAGTTTCTACCAGTTGTTTATTCCTTTGCAGCTGTACACCTCAAATGCAACTTGCTGATCACCACTAATTACGGTGTCCAGTTTAGCCCTAAAATGAGCAGGAATTCGACTCACCAAGGCCTTTCCTCACTATGCAAAGAACCTATTACCTAGTTCATACATATTTATTTCATCAGAATGTGTAATACTTGCATGTTCCCATATGTTCTTTGCCTTATATTAGACATTGGAAGGAAGGACACTGTAAAGGAGCCAACTTTCTGGATCTACAACAAAACATGAGCCCTGTATGCACAGAGCACTGTTTTTGAAGATTACATCCAGGAGACATCTGTTCAGGTTTGCTTTTAAATGTGATTGAGTTTACATATTCTGGAGATCATCATCGTGAAAACTTTCAGAAGTTTCAGATGGGTACTTTGGTACTACTCATATACTTTTACACTACAAGGAGTCACCAAGTATCTGCCATCTTTGCTGTAAAATCCTGTAAATTAGGCATTTAGCCTGGAGATAAGAGTAGAGAACTTTCCATTACATGAAGCACGGTACATATCTTCATTCAATCTGAAGTGAGAATGTTATGGGGCAATCAGTACTGTGAGTTGGTCAGAAAAATGTTAAAGCAGCAACTTTTGCCATGACATGGAAAGTCTGACAAATCCAAAACTATTTTTGTAACTGCTAGCTTATTCACAGTATGTTAAGATCATTATGACATCTCTTGGGTACTTCACACACTCTAATAGATGTCATTTTCTTTCCCACAAGTAACTTGCCTTTTTTTTTTTCCTCCCTTTCATGATTATATAGTTCAAAGGTCACAGTGGTAGTCAACCAGGCTGTTCCTGGGAACCCCTCAGAAATGTTACCAAATGGTGTGTTCATTCATTAGTTTACTTGCTGTATTCAAAGAAATCTCAATGAATTCAGATTACTTTATTTTCCTAAAATTATCAAATCTATTATTTATGCTAGCAGTAGAAAGCATTTTCTCCCTGGAACAAATCCAAGGTCTGTGATTTTTTTTCCCTACTTCTGTTGTGTTTTACATTTTCATACCTTGGGATGGAGCTTAGTTTTCACTCCAAATTATATCTTTAGACATAAAGATGAGACAAAGCTGACCTTTTTTGCTACAATTAAATTTAAGAAATAATAAAAATATCAAAGGATTTTAACTCTTTAAAAAATATATTAGTAATTCAAAACTTCAACTTTATAGTATACTAATTAATATTTTTTTCTGCAAGTCAATGAAGAAGGCAAAGGCTATCCTAATAAACAGGGCTAATTTTTTATTGTTATCATGATTAGTATGATGTAGCCAATTTCAGAATTAATCTGGTAGAAATGGAAAGGCAAGTTGTTTTTTGTTTGTTTGTTTGTTTTGTACAAGACTTTTTTTTTTTTTTTTTTAAAGCTACTCCCCAGTTCACAGTACTTGACCAGATTAATATTTCTGTTATTCCCAATAGGAAATATTTTCTTTCCCTTTATAACTGTTCTCAACTATTATTAATTTTTACTTTCTATAGAAGCATAATTTTTTTATTTTTTTTTTTGTGGCCAGTAAGCTGATACAGAAGATTTCTTTGCCTAGCAAATTAAAAGCCAGCTCATACAAAAATAGAACCTCCTACACAAACATACTTTAAATACATTTCTTAGAAGATAGCCAGTAAGCTATTACAGAAAAGTTAAGATACATGTGAGAAGCTTCCCTTCTGTGAAAGGCTGGAAACATTCTCTCCGCATGTGCTGCATTTGTTTGTAAGATCAGAAAAAAGGTTTTTCCCCTCCATACTTGGAACATCATTTTATATTAATTTCCCAGACTGATCATCCTCTTTGGCTCTAAAAAGGATGGAATACTTCATGATAAAGCCTGTAACACCAGTAGGAATTATCTGTAACAATTGTCCATGATAAACGTAGTGAGCAGTATCAAACAACCATAAAAATTAAACTGTTTATGGAATTTAAGTATCCCTTCCAGAAGTAAAATCAGCATTGGAAGACAGTCGGACAGAAAATGCTGACTGAAACTGGAAGGACATAAAGGAAGACACTCATCAGTAGTCAGCAGCACCAACAACAGCAGGAAAGATGTCAGTGGCAAATACTGAAAATGCCATTAGCATGCAGGCTTCAGGAAAAACAGTTATTATAAGATCAATATTATATCCTCCCAGAGTCAACTAGTATATGTAAAGATCCAGCCTTGTGCCCAGGCAACACAACAGCAATTGAATTTCACAACATGTTGTACAATTCCTTATGTTTCATATGACCATAGTAAAGAATTGCATCTATTAACAGCTGGAGCAACTGTTTGTCTTGCTTCTTTATCTGGTACTCCCAAGGAATCTCCATAAAGAAAGGCACTGATATTGTGGCTTTCTGCCATTTGAGAAGGCCATTCATGAGACAAAGCTATTCTAGAGATCACATTAGAGCTCTATAACCACTTCCCTTATTTCAAATCCAGGAACAATATTAAATATGTTCCTAAAAGCACCTACCCAGTTCTTTTTAGAATACGACAATACACCACTTGCTAGGGACTTTGATTTTGGACACGTTTTCATATAAATTGAGGGCTTTTTCCCATTCTAACATGCCTGAATTAGAAATGAAAAATGCACCCTGAATTAAAGCAGGGCTCAAAAAGAGATACCATTTCTCAGCCAGAATTTATGTTGCTAAACTGAAACTAAGACCAATGAAGGCATAATTTCTACGAAACAAGAAAGCGGTTATGAACTGTGGACCTTAACAAGGTCTAGCATTTCTGCGAGTATTCCTGTTCACTTAGGATACAAAACAGACTGCCTCCGAAAATGAAGGGGCAGTCATGATGTTGGTGACTACTGAACTCCTGATGAACTGACATAGATATGGGAACCTAGACAACAAAATTAATGGCCACTTACCTTTAGTAGGGAAATGGAAAGAATTACACTATCAGATATCCTCAAATGAATGCTCTGAGTATAAATTGTTATTGTGAAGCATTCAAATACTACAATGACCTGTTTTACAGATGCTGTTGCAGAAATTAATAATTTACTATTCAGTAATGGATAAGGCCAACAGGTCAAAAGAGAGGTCTGAGGTTATGCAGTGCATACGAAAATAAAGATACTGAATAATTCTTAATTTATTAGGAAATATCGGGGTTATGTCAAATACTATGTAAGGATAATGTAAAAATGATGAATACAATGATGGAAATGAAAACTGTATCATAATGCATATATACGGACAAGGTCTTGAGGCATCATATCATTTGGAGTCCCAGAATAAAAATAATCGTCCCTTCTCCTGAAAAAAACAGGATGTATTTACTGTCTCTTACATCAAATTAAGAAGGCTGATAAGGAAGCAATTCTTGCTTTAACTTACTTTCAAATACTTATCTCAACTTCGACAGTTTTAAGACTTTATATTTTACATTATATTGGCACAGTCTGTGACATGAAGAGTACAGACTACAAGGTGATATATATGGAAATTAAGTGAAATGGAATAGAAAAATATTTCAAGTATGTTATAGGTTAGACTGCAATCAACCAAAAGATAAAATATAGCAAAAAAAAAAAAAAAAAAAGGTAAATACACTAAATAGGTAAGAATTTTTTTTTGCCTTTGTCTTGAATCTCAACTCAATGTTTTGAGCTTAAGACTACCTCTTTCCTTAAAATTGAGTGAAGAGGTTGAATAATGATCTGTCCCTCCTGCAGATATACAAGCAATAACCAAGTATTACTATAATCTTAAAAAAGACAAGCCAGTCAGAGTTCCAAATTCAAACTTCATCTCTTCCATTCCCTGCTTCTGTTTTGTGGGAGTTACTCATATTCCACAAATGACATGCCAATTTCAGGTTATAAACAATTTTGTTTTTAATTGAATGATGATTTTGATTGAATCAACAAAAATAATATATTTGCAGCAACTGAAAGTAGCTGTATTTCTATACTTTAACATCTTTCTCAAAAGATTTGCATTCAGACAGCATTCTAGTCTACAAATCTAAATAAAAATAAATGCTTTAACTCACTGAAAAGACAGCTCAGCAAAAGACAGAGTAGCATAAGAGTGCCCACAAAGAATCCTAGCACACAAGAAGTACTATATTTAGTAGCCAACTCCAAAGAAGAGTTTCCCTTTAGTTTTCTTGAAACTAAAAATACTTTGGAAAATATCTGAAACTTCCGGACAGTTTTACTAGATGGTCTTTGAAAGTCCCTTCCAATTGAACTGTTCTATTCTACCTTGTAAGTCTACTCCTGTTCCTACATCACCATAGGTTTTATTTTATTAGCCTGTTTTAGCAAAAGACATTTCCTAGGTTGGCTACTTCCAGTAAATTTCGTGGAATGTGAATGTATCTACTTATCTTTGTTTTTATTTTCTACAGAAGCTATTATTTCTGTTAATGTAGCAAAGAGAGGCCCCAATGAAAACCGAGGCTTTTGCTTGTTAGACTCTTTACAAACTGTAACAGGAAACCCTAAAGACTTCCAACCAAGGATGAAGAACAAGTGAAAACAGAAGCAAGACACCAGACCAGTGTTGCATAGCAAGTCAGTAGACAGTTAAAGATTTCAGTCTCATTACAGGACTGTGATTATATAGCGACGCTTCCTCCTTAGAATACAAAAAATTGTTAAAGCAAATGAAAGCTATGAAAAAAAAAAAAAGAACAAAAAGTCAATAAAAATTATTAAACTTCTACTCTCATATTCATAATACAGAAAAAAAAATAGTAGAGGACAACAGACTTTCAAAGGAGAGAAGAGCCCTAGTCTCCTATAAAGTTTACCTTTAATACAAATGAAAACTAATGACACCTTTCATTTCAGCTGCCTTACAGTTCAGCTTTAGAGATACTTCTCAGCCTCTACTTCCTCATCCCTATTCTACTCTTTTCCTTCTGTCTCATTCTTGCCACTGCCCTCCCAATTAAATTCAAGCAAACATTACAGCAGTAAGCTGCCACTGGTTTCTAATCACAACGTCCAAAATCCAAACATCCTACCATATTTCTGTTAACTTATTGTTGCATAACTTTCATAGAGCTCATGTTATTTTTGAAACATTATTTATGCAAACATCCTTGCAATACAAAATAATTAGTTGAAAAGCTTGATTTCCTTTTGTCTGTTTCTACAGCAACAACAACTGAATGAATTAGCATTTCTTTAGAGTGGTGGCACAACATAATGATTTTGGAAAACAAACAAAGTTAGCTGAAGAACTGTTCAATTTCTGTTTACCTCTTGGTATAGTGAGGACTAGGACATAAAACTGACAAAACGTGTTGTGTTTTTTTTTCCACCCACCTTCATGGCATGCATAAGCAAGTAATCGTGGAAATAATGAGACGCCCATAATTAAAGCATTGTCATGGGCCTACAAAAACACTCTCTGACACAGACTTCCTCTGTAACTGGAAGCAACTCATCTCCTGACACAGTTTCTCGTCTATGAAGCAAAACTTCTTGCCTTTCCTATCTTTAAAAAGGGCAATGAAGATGACCCAGGAAACTACAGGCCAGTCAGCTTCACCTCAGTCCCTGAGAAGGGGATAGAGCAACTAGTCCTGGGAACCATTTCCCTGTAATGAAGAACAAGCAGCTCATATCAAGGGCAGTCAGCGTGGATTCAGTAAGCCCAAGTCATGCCTGACCAACCTGACAACAACCTCCTATGATGAAATGACCAGCCTAGTAGAAGAAGGTGAGGAAGTGGATGTCGGCTACCTGGACTTCAGTAAGACTTTGATACTGTCTCCCATAAGACCCTCATAGACAAGCTGTTGAATGGGCTGGATGAGCAGACTGTAAGGTAAATCAAAAATTGGCTGAATAGCCAGACCCAGAGGGTGGTGATCAGTGACACGAAGGTCAGTAACTAGCAATATACACCAGGGGTCAATACTGGTCCAGTCCTGATCATCGTCATCATCATACCTACTGCAAGGCTGCTGCTGACACAAAACTGGGAGGAGTGGCTAGTATGCCAGAGAGTTGTGCTGCCTGCCACAGGAACCTCAACAGGTTGGTGGAGTGGGGTGACAGAGGTCTCATCGAGTTCAACAAGGAGAAGCACACATCCTTAATTTTTTAAGTGAAATAGAGGCATTCTTTCAGAGACAACAGACTGTACTTCTAAAGGCTCACCTTTGTATTTTAACTCAAAACCCTTGCTCAATTAGGGTCCTAATTTCTCTACCAACATTTCCAAGTCAGTATTTCCTTATGCGCACACTGTATTCAAGTCACAGCCTTCTCCTGGCATCAAGCTGTTAAAATGAATTCATAGCAAGAGCATGCCCAGAGCCACAATCATCTGTTAAACTACATATTTCTCCAAGAATTCAAATTTTAACTATTTTTGAACATCAAATTGTTTCAGAATGCTAGCTACAGAAGAACTCACTCACTCAAAGAGAAACAATATGCAGAAATCACATGACAAAAGAAGAAAAATTATTTAGTTAGGGATGCGCTGTTGGCCTGACAAATAAAAAGGGAAGAATTGTCCACAGAAAAAATATATGAACAAAAATATAATCCTACTTCTATATCCCTATGATCTATTTTATTCACTTTTGTTTTATTTTTTTATTTTTCTTTTTAAATGTTCTATTGCAGTTCTCTGACCAGAGATCCTTTGCTTTGCTACAGGTGCTAAAAAATATTTATACACTTTAATTTAGTTGGCAACTACCAGAGTGTAGGTAAAGTAGCCTTACGAGATCTTGAAGCAATCTAGGAGATACTTACTTCTTTTCTAATCTGAAGCCCTTCAGGGCATGTACATATAAAGCACTAACGTGTCAAAAGTATGGTGAACATGTATACTGCCTTATGTAAAGACAAAAGTTTTTTGTTTTCTTGGTTTTTCTGGTTTCTTTGGCTTATATATTCAAAAATACAGAAGTGCTTTTTGTATACAATTTAGTCTTTCCTTGTTAAATTAAGTACATTATTTTGCTAGTATTTCCATTGTTAGTGGTAGGCAGCTGGTAGAAAGAGCTCTGAAGGGTATAACTGAAGTGTGAAAGGCAAAAAAGCTATTTAGTATAACATAATACAACTCTTCCTAGCTTGCATGACCCTTGAAGTAATTTTTTAAATTTAAGGTGGATAATATGCCAAGTTATTCTTCAGACTGGATAGAATCAGATCATGTTTTGATCAAGGTGAGGGCCGGAGGGACAACACAAGTCTTCTTCCTCTATTGCTTTTGTATATAGCACGATTGGTACATACAATGTACATATATCTGCATAAATCACATTAACTCAATCAACTAGTTATTTGTATGTCTGAAGCCTAGAACAATATGCAAGTCATGCAAGGACGCAAAGATCCCAACTGGATCATGCTCAGGATATAGCCATAAAGTTCCAACATTTCCTAATAGAAAAAAAAAAAGTCATACAGACAGATAGCTGCTCTAAAAGTGAAAGTAGTGGAAGGTTGAACTTTCATACCTTATAAAGATTTATAATGTAGTATGGCAGGGGAAAAAAATCACCTAGAAGTCTTACAGATGTCTTTTGCCAACTTAAGCTTAACATCTCTTTATAAGCAGCTAGAAACCTACACAAATCCTCAACGTGCAACGCTCCTGTAATGCAACAGCATCCTGAATACACTGTTATATACTGCAGACCATTGATTTTTGTCTTGCTGTTCTGGAAAAAGGAAGTTCTAAACTGTGGAGGGGCTTCTGCTTAGCACATACTCAGCAAGAGCTCAATAAGGGGCTGTTCCTGTCAAGGCAAGATTTAATCAACAGTATTTGAAATGTTCTAACTGCTGTGCTAGCAGAATTCATCCAAACATCTCACAGGGAGGAAGCAGACCATGACAAATATTTCTTTTTACTGGCACTATACATAGAGATGAACAGCTGTTACAGGGAAGTACAAACCTGCCTACTATTTTAGGCAGAAGGACAGTCATTCTTTGAGCTGTGCTACCTCTCTGAAGGCAGAAGTTGTTGGACTGACTTGCTCTGTGCTGCTGTTTGGCATAACTTCGACATCTACAAAGCAGACTTTCCAGTTTCATGAACACTGGCCTTCCTTCTAGGTTGAAGGGCAGAATTGTTATAGATTCTATAAACCTTTCATAGCCAGATCGTTAATGGCAAACCGTTTGCTATACAAGTGTAATAAACATTGGAAACGCAACAAATTTGAATTTAAGATAACCACATGTAGAGATGATAGTGCGGAGAATGTTACAATGACACAATACAACATCAAGGAGGCAGACACACAGTCAGTCACCCCAGAGCTGTAGGAGCTGAGGTCAAACCAGCCCTTCAGTGGCAGCATTCCTGGTCTCACAGACTCTTGCTGCAGAGAAAGAGGGGACAGCACTGATGGGTAGAGATTACCCTTTGCTGTTTTAAATTACCTTGTGTTTTAATGCATGGATTCCCTCACAGCCTGCTTACAGGTCAGGTCTGCTTACTAAAACCTATGCAGAAAACCTTTTTGCAGGGCTGCACTACAAGCAATTACTATTACTCATTGCTCAGACTGCAAGCAAATGCATTGAAAGAGTTACTAATTCTAAAAAACAAAAGTGTTCTGGGACGTGCAGCAACAATAAAATCCTCTGCTTACTGAACCACGTGAAAATTTCAAGAAAGGGATAGCTGTATTAGGGGAAACACTAAAAGTTTCAGTGTCATTCGGACATACTAGTATACTGAAATATCCACATTAAAAAAGCATGAAAACTAGAACTGCATGCTGTTACTAAAGGACTTCATCACAGGGCCTTAAAGAATTACTTCAGCCCACAGAACAGCTTGCTTTGAATAGCACAGAAGTAACACAAAGTAGAAAATAGAAAATATACCTATAATACCATGACAAGAAGGAGCATGGGTGCCTATATTTTTAAAGATTAGAATTCAAAACTGAATTTAATAGCAGCTACAAATTGGGAGTCATGATTCAAAACTTAAGTGTTATGGAAACAAAACTAAAGAAACAAAGCATTTGCCTTTGAGATGCAAATTATTAATCTGCAAATGTTAATGTTTTGCGTTTTGTTATGTTTTGTTTTGTTTTTAAATAGAAAATTTAAACTAAGATACTTTATTCTTATATAGACTCAGAAAGACTTCATGCAAATTGACTCCAAACAACTTCTAAGGCAGTCTGGAAACACTATATTCATTTTTTACAACACTCCAGAACGAGTATCTGAAGAGAAATTTGATTTGAAATTACACATTCTCCTTAGTTCTCTCCACACGCACATATGTATTTGTCCAAAGAAAAATTCCTCCATTTGCTTTAAAATTCAAGATGTGGCAAAATGAATTTGACACAGACAACTATACATTTGTGCACACATATACAACCTTCCCCCTGCACATCTCCACCACGAGCAGGCACGTAAATCAAGTGTGTGCGTACAGAGACCTTAACTAGACACACACCTGGCCCCTGCCAATGTTGAAACAGAAGTGTACACATTTATCATTATCTATAAATGTTGGCCAGAAATCAAAAACAGGTTGTAGCAAATACTATAAGAAAGTTGTTAGAGGACTACAACCCTGAAGAGTTACAACACTTGCAACATTAAAAAGGATCACAAAGTAAGACAGGTACTAGAAATATCTCAGAAGTTTACATCCAGATGCACTTGCCTAAATTTCAAGCCTGTTTTTCAGTATTTTACTGACAAATACACATTTTTACTGACAAACTTGCACATATAAATCACATCGATGAGGCTGTGTTGTCACTATTCGTAATCTGGTGGGCTGCAACTGTCTTACCTCAGCAGGCATAAAGAGTGCAGCTCAGGTAACTGCTCCTCACTTGCTACTTTCCTTGCTGAAGGTTTGCATACTTCCCTTCAGAGTAGAATGGGAGAATCAACTTCTGGGACCAAAGATGGCAACGCAGGACTGGTCAAAATGAGCGTCTTTTGAGTTATTTCAAGTAAGAGTACACATACACTTCAGCCTTGTTTATTAAAGGTTTTTCAAGAAAATATGCATGTCTTACATTGGAATGCATTCTGGGTTTTAAAATGTCACTCCCTCCCTGTATTATAGTAATAGTTTAGCGAAAGTATATTATGATCTTCCAAGCATAACTAAATCCTACAACTTAAAAACCGGTGTTGCTGAGGAGTTTTGGAGTACAGCCACACACTGGCCCACATTTACTTTCAGTGTGGGCTTCAGGGCAACATTATTATGGTCAGAGCTCTACACCTTCAGACATGCCCTTCCCTGAAAGGCCATCGGATTTCTTCAAACTTTCCATAACTCTGCCTTTTCTTACATAATCCAAACTTGATTAAATGTGCTCTCTCTCTTCTGAAACACATCTAGACCATGGGTTGCTTCCACAATTATTCCCTTCTCAAATTATATGTGAGAAAGCCATATATAAAAGTTCTGCACTGTACTTTGAAAAGTACAGGTTGATTTCAGACTAAGCAAGCTCAATAGCCTGTGCCTACTGCACTACTGAAAACTAGGAAATGAAATTACTGTTTTTTTAACTATTGATAATCGTTTTGTGGTAAAGCACACAACCTTGGGCTTCTACCTACAATGGTTTTCTTTGAAGCTCAACTGCATGCACTTCTCTGTATAAAAGATGTATACAAATTAAGCAGAAAAATTAAGTAACCTTGCAGGATGCCAGCAGCCTTCTCCTCTCCAAAACATAATTATGGTAGCATAACAACATATACAGCTTAAAGACTGAAATAAAAGTCATGCTGCCTGAGCCACTTGCCCATCACCAGTGAATATTTTCTCAGAGTATCTTCTCCCACGCTAGTTTCCTCTCTTCCATCACCACTTATCTCTCCTAAGTAACATCAACCGAACTAAATGTTGCTGGGAGATTTTCTCTCCAGCCTTCTGAAGCTGAAGCCTAAATTTCTCTGTTTGGTTAGGTGAGCTTGGACCAGTTGGTGTTTTCAGAACTACTATCACCCAGCTGTTGTCTATTAAACACATGCAGTGGATCATCATCAGTTAGTGAAGGCAACATCAGATCTTCTCCCACCCCCAAACTCCTCACAGGAAAAAAAAAAAAAAGGGTTGAGGGGAGGAAGGGACAGGAAATCTCTGTTATCAATAGACTACATCCTGCTAACTTCACTCACATGAGTCTACAAGATTACATGCTCAGTAAATGTTAAACTGAAACCAGAGCCTATAAAAATCTTCTATTTGATGACCAGCTGTTGCAACATTAAAATAGATAATATTTGAGGAGAGTTATTTATACACAGCTATGACTGCTCCTCGTAATCATCAAATTAAAGGCAGGAGACAGACCTTTCCTCCAAACTCAGGAGGAAAATAATTAATTTTTATTTACATAAGTCTTAACATTAGCCTGTTCACTGGAAAGGCAAGTCTGACATGATGCAGAATTGAAGAATTGACTCTCTAACACTAACAGCAATTACTTTAAACAAATTACTTTAACACCAACTACAGAAAGAGAATATATTTTCATTAAAAAAGGTAACTAAATTAATAACTACTCAAAAAGGGGTAGACACATATGAAGATTTCCATAATATTCAATTCACAAACTGTGAATCAAAGCTTGAAAATTGATTTTCACATATCCCCAGTTTTGACCAAAGTCCTATCTGTTCTGGAACCGCAGTCCTTCTGGGGACACCTCTCCATTGAAAATGGAGATGTGAGGCACTGCAGTTCCCTATGCTCAGGCAGGCACAGCAACAAAAACTGATTGATGTAGGGAGAACCATTTCTAATCTTAGGACACGATCATTTTTGAGAACAGCACTTCCTTACTCGGTAATGCTGAAGATAAAACTCAATGTGACTTCTGGAAATAAAAAATGGAGCATATAAAAAAAAAGTTAAGCTTGTTAAACTTCATATTAAAGTTTACCTTCACCTTTCACAGCCATTTCAATGCTTGGGTGTAAGAACAGTGGTATGAATATAGGCGTAATCATGAATGAGTCATTGCTGCCTACTGCTCAATTTGGCACGTTTTTCATATGCTGTCACAAAACATTGTTCATATGGGTATCCTACCACTATTACATACAATTAACTCCAAAGTGCTCTACGCTTCCAGTTTATGTAATAGACATGAAACTTACTCGGTCTTCATCCAGTCAAAAAACAAATGATTAAGACTGATTATTAAGTCAACTTTTTCTTGCTCTGTTCAAGAAACAAAATAAAATAAATAAATAATAAAAACCTTTTTGTGGAAATTTACTGATGTCCTATGGTTCTACTGTTATTCACTATATCCAGTATGTGTCTGCAGGATGACCAGGAAACATCTGAAGAGTTTTTAAGCCAGCTTGGTGACCACCCACAGGAAAAACAAACCTGTCCTAGTAACTCTACATCTAACACATCTAATGTGCTAGCTCCTAGGGCAAATTTTCTAGAAGATTTAGAAAATTCGTCCGTTGTCTTGGTCTTACCATAAATCCCTAGATCAGAAACAGGTTCAATAAAGTCATATGTTCTCACATATAAGTCCCTTTCTAAACAAAACATGTAAGCAACAACATCTTTAGCATGATACAGTAATACAGTAACTATAGCTAGAGACTGAAGATCTGGAGACTGTTCCTGGTGCTGCAAGGAACTAAGTATACAATCCTAAAAAAAAAATTATTTTCACACCTCTCTGTATTTCAATTTCCACAATCCCTAGATGAAGAAAAAAGAAAATGTTTTTTAAAATGAAATACTATCTAAAAGCTAGGAATATGATCAAAATTCTGTTTCTATTTATTTCACATACAACACTAACAGGTGGGCACTTGTGCAATATATATCAGCCACTGGGGGTGAGGGAGAGAGAAACTAAATGCTTCAAAATCCTCGTCTACAAGTTGACCCTACTGGATGTTCACATATATCAGCTTTCAGAAATACAATGCAACAATTATTTTAGAATACTATTTAAAAAACAAGTGTGCACGTGCATTTATCTTTCATCAAGACAGGGACATAACAACATATAATTATGATGTGCATAAAGTATTTCTAATTCTATATATAAAGTCATTATTAAAATGATCATGCAAAGTTTAAACAGGTATCTTTAAAAAAAAATCCTAAAAAGCTTTGTCTTGTCAAATTTTTATATTTAGAGCAAGCACATTTCTAACAGTGTGGCAAGAAATATAAACCAACAACTGCAGAATGCAGCTCTCTGCTATGAAAATATTAGCTGGGATCAATTCCCCACAGCCTTCAATTCAGAACTGTTTAGTAGGGGGGAAAAAAAAAAAAAGAAAAAAAAAGCTAAAGCTCAACTTCTTACATCCTCAATATGACTTCTCTGGAAGTATTACAGATAGAGCAGAACATTGCTAATTCAAATACTTTGAGTAACACCACCTTTCAAAGGAGAAAAAGTTTGTGCTACCAAATTCAGAGCTATATACTCTTCAGATATGTTACTGAGGCCTCCTTTCCCTGAAAAGGAGTGCATTTCATCCTGCACATCCTGAAAGCGTGCACTAACAACAAGCACTCTGGCAGGAACACTGGTGAGAGCAGCAGAGGCAGCAGTTTGGACTGGCAGAACCCCACTGTTCAGAAGACTTCTGGACAAACATTGTCCAGCACTCCTCTTAAAATTCGTGGTGTGAGACAGAGGAAATAAAACCAAAGCACTTCAATTATGCTACTTCATTTAAGTTAAAAAGGAACACATGACAAAATTAGATCTTTACTGGTGGCTAAACTAGATTTGAATAGACATTCAGCTGTCTAATAAATCTTACTTAGTTATTCACTGTGAAGAACTCTCAAACCCTATAACTGGCTATGACTTGACAGAGGTGGATAAACTTCGTTCCTTCTCTGATGTACCCACAAATTCCAGATTAAATAGATACCATAAGCCAAATTGAATCAAATTGAATTACACACATTATGTTGAAACACTCCTTGGAAGCAGCTATTGACTGTGGCTCTTGATTTTTCAGTAACAAAACACTGAGGTCACACACAGCAAAGGAAAATTAAGACATGTCAAGTCACACAAACCTCAATTCGTGTGTTCTCATGAATCCTGTTAATAAATACAGCAAACTGTACTAACTGACTGAGCCTCTATCCTTAAAAATAGATTCACAGAATAGGAAATCTTGAAAAGTTATTTTTATACAAACTAAACACATCATCAAGGGCTACTAAATGGTTTACCTTGTAACTAAAAACAGAATAGTGACATTCACTTTGTTTACTGTTTTTACCAAAACAGTCAGAAGCCACAAAGTTTTCAGATGCATGTGTGGGTCAGTCAGACCTTTATGTATTTTCCCCCTCCTTCACTCTACCCCTGCAAGCCTCTATGCTCTGATCTTCTCTGTCTGTAACTAACACTGCTCAAAATTGTTATTCACAAGAGTAAAATAATAAATGTAAAATAACTCTGACTGCACCAAATTCAGCCCACTTAATTAAGGAGGGATGAAGCAAACTGGTCATTTTTTAAGCACTCATCTCAATAACGTTGTTTTGTCCTGTTCTTGGCTTGGACTGGTGCACGCTTCGTTGGGTTAGAAACTGGCTGGATAGCCGGGCCCAAAGAGTTGTGGTAAATGGAGCCAAGTCCAGTTGGAGGCCAGTCACTAGTGGCGTCCCCCAGGGCTCGGTGCTGGGGCCGGTCCTCTTTAACATCTTCATCAATGATCTGGATGATGGCACTGAGTGCACCCTCAGTAAGTTTGCAGATGACACCAAGCTAGGTGCGTGTGTCGATCTGCTCGAGGGTAGGAAGGCTCTGCAGGAGGATCTGGATAGGCTGCACCGATGGGCTGAGGTCAACTGTATGAAATTCAACAAGGCCAAGTGCCGGGCCCTGCACCTGGGGCGCAATAACCCCAAGCAGAACTACAGGCTGGGAGAGGAATGGTTGGAGAGCTGCCAGGCAGAGAAGGACCTGGGAGTGATGGTGGACAGTCGGCTGAATATGAGCCAGCAGTGTGCTCAGGTGGCCAAGAAGGCCAACGGCATCCTGGCTTGTATCAGAAACACTGTGACCAGCAGGGCTAGGGAGGTGATCGTCCCCCTGTACTCGGCTCTGGTGAGGCCGCACCTCGAGTACTGTGTTCAGTTTTGGGCCCCTCGCTACAAGAAGGACATCGAGGTGCTTGAGCGGGTCCAAAGAAGGGCGACGAAGCTGGTAAGGGGCCTGGAGAGCAAGTCCTATGAGGAGCGGCTGAGGGAGCTGGGCTTGTTCAGCCTAGAGAAGAGGAGGCTCAGGGGTGACCTTATTGCTCTGTATAAGTACATTAAAGGAGGCTGTAGAGAGGTGGGGGTTGGCCTGTTCTCCCATGTGCCTGGTGACAGGACGAGGGGGAATGGGCTAAAGTTACGCCAGGGGAGCTTTAGGTTAGATGTTAGGAAGAATTTCTTTACTGAAAGGGTTGTGAGGCACTGGAACGGGCTGCCCAGGGAGGTGGTGGAGTCACCATCCCTGGAAGTCTTTAAAAGACGTTTAGATGTAGAGCTTAGGGATATGGTTTAGTGGGGACTGTTAGTGTTAGGTTAGAGGTTGGACTCGATGATCTTGAGGTCTCTTCCAACCTAGAAATTCTGTGATTCTGTGATTCTGTGATTCTGTCCTGCACTTTACAAGCAGAATCTCAAATGCATTCGCAGCTTTAATATCTTACTAATATTTGGTTAGCATCAGAACAATAAGAAAAGGGTTTTGCTCATTAAATTGGAAAGCACAAATTTAGGCTTCATCACATACTTATTCTCTAGTGATTCATTTGCAGATTTCTCCAAACAAATTATAGTAGACAGGGCACTTCTTGAACATAGAAGCAAATGAAAACTCCCAGAGCAATCAAGTACATAAGTTAAAAAGCTACAGTGTGGTTGTTTAAATCTCTGTGAACATAAAACTCTAACTGCCCTTTGTAACACCACTTTGAAGAGGTAAGTTACTGTTCAAAGAAAGCTGCCACTTGGATATTAATGACATCGAAAAGAATAAACTAAGCTTTCTATGAAGGTTTGATGAACACCTACTGGACTAGCAAAATAGAAATATATTGTAATTATTCAAAGATGAAAGAGTATATATTCAAATGCATGCACTCATATGAACAGTCTTTGACAGGACAGCATTAGTACTACCTATTCCTCTCCATTGTAAACTAAACAGCATATAAAAACTCAACTGCCAGTGTAAAACTGCTCTCTAATACTGCAGTCACATAAAGGTTTTTGCTGACTGTATCATTTTTCTTCCCCAAGTGGCCATGCATTCACCCTGAATGCATGGGGGAATCTAACCTTGTGGAAGAAGAAACCCCGGGGACGTTTTAGCAATACCGTAGTGGGAAGGGAAGGCTAATCATGAAAATGAGGCAGAACTCTTACAATGGGAGCTCCAAAGCATGTAGGACTTGCACAGAAATGAAAAAAAAGGAGTAAAACAGATATGTGTCCAGTCCAAGGCTACTTGAACAACCTTTTGTTATCAGGATGGTCATGTCTTCTACCATCCAGCTAGTCACACTGCAATGGAGTATGCTGTTAATAAATGATTTCAGAAATATTAAATCCAGAAAATGTATGGTCTTTATGAACAATGCCGGAATGATACACAAAACCAGTACGTTATCAAGTGCAGTTTCCTGAGCAGAACCACATTATGTGAAATTTAAACACGTGTCAAGCTCTCAAAATCACTTCAAACACAGATTTTCATATGCATTCATCACTGTTCTGGTATCATTAGACAGTATTTTAAGGAATAAAGGCATAGAAGAAATTTTGATTTTGTTTGAGGTTACTCCAAGTTGCTTCCATTATAGCTGTGGAACATTCAAAGTGCACATGTACCTATTACCATGCGCATCAGACATAGCAACTCAGCCAGACATCAACACAGCCCCACGTTAAAAAGATAAAAGCACTTAGAGATAGGAATATAGTAAAACAATCAAGTTTCACAGATGGAGAAAATTAGGACACAGACTACCTGAGTCTTCCAAAACTGCATGACATTTATGATCGTCATGCTGTAAAGCTATTTACTGCAGAACACACAGTATTTACTGACCACCCATGCATATTTATTACACTCTAATTTAGAGCTTCACACAAGATTTAATGCCTTAGTGATGTGCAGACTACATTACAGCTACATCATTTGGGCTACATCTAATCTGAGGGGCAGTCAGATTGCATACCCAAAACATTGAAGCGTCCTCTGCTGCCTAAACCGA